GCGCGAACACGTTCGCATTCAACCGCGGATGCGAACAGCGTGCAACACAGGTTACAACTTACCAGCAAGCTGACAGATCAGGTATATGTCCCAATGAGCTCGAATTATGAGCACGCAAGCAAACAGATGAACAGGAGCCGGCGTGGATTGAAGTCAACTGACGGCATTGACCGGATTTGCTGTTGATGGCTGCCATTCTTTCTTCACAGGCACGGTCACATATTTCACACGCGGGGCACCTCGGCGGTGCAGCAGTCGGAGCGCTAGCGTGGGCAAGAATCCGGAGAGGGAGGTTCTACCGGTAGCTTATGTGGAAAAAGCACAGATGACATCATCAGAATGGTAAGAATGCGGCGAGAATGACGACCCAGTCGCGTAGTGTCCTGCAGCAGCCGGCTCTTCTCACACACAACACAAGAACTCCTAAAGAGTGCAGGCCCCTGCAGGCCGAGCGGCTCTTCTCACAAAACACTATTATTAGTACACTTGGTGGTGCCCCTGAAAAGTCCACTTCCGACAACAAAGCAGCGATCCTGAAAAGGTTCACGTCGAAGTCCTCCACTGCTCAAAATTGAATTACAGCTAGTGGTCGGTCCAGGTTCACAGCTGTGCAGGAGGCCCAACGGGGGTTCAGGGGAATGCCAGTGTAGATTCACAACTGCAGGAGGTCCAGTGCTGGTCCAGTTTTGGTCCAGTTTTGGTCCAGTGCTGATCCAGCATTGGGCCAGGGCAGTTTCAGTGTGGACAGGTCCAGCGTAGCGTCACAACTGCAGGAGGTCCAGTGTTGATCCGGTGGTGGTCCAGTCTTGGTCCAGTTTTGGTCCAGTTTTGGTCCAGGGCAGTTTCAGTGTGGACAGGTCCACCATAGCATCACAACTGCAGGAGGTGCAGCGTTGATCCGGTGGTGGTCCAGTGTTGGTCAAGTATTGGTCCACTGTGTGTTCCTGTTTTGGTCCAATGCTGATCCAGCATTGGCCCAGGGCAGTTTCAGTGTGGACAGGTCCGGCGTAGGTTAGGTTCCGAGGTGGTGGATGTCCGGTGTTCCAGTTTTGGTCCAGTGCTGATCCAGCGTCGGCCCAGGGTAGTTTCAGTGTGGACAGGTCCAGTGTAGGTTAGGTTCACAGTTGCTTGATGTCCTGTGTAGGTTAAGTCTTCACCCAGTGCTGGTCCAGTGTGGGACCAGGGTAGGTCCAGTGCAGACTCCCAGCTGCGGAAAGTTTAGGGTAGGTCGGCAAGGCACATTCTGGTGCGACACCCATCCCTCGATTACTTCTGGCTTTTGCCAGTTTTGTTTAGGGTAAGAGGTTATCCCAAAGATAGTCTCTCTGTAGGCTAGAAATCGGAAGACATGATGATGATGATGATGATGATGATGATGATGGATGTGGAAATTTGTTTCGGTTATTTCCATCAAGAAACTTTGAATCAGAGAGAGATGAGACACCAATGGCCGACAACATTCTTCGGGTTGATGAGGATGCTCATAGCCATTTTTTTAATGTAACGGCCGGGTTTCGAATGCAAGTGCGAAGCTGTCCAACCAGCAGGTCTGCACGCAGGCATCAATGTACTGCCGTCTCCCCCCGAGCATAACGCATCCAGGTAATAAATGTATACAAGCCATCTTTCATGTCTGGTACAGCCGTAATCAGGGCTCGTTGCGTTCGGCGGAAGATGGTAGTAGTACGGCGTCGCGGTGATTGCAAGGCCACTCACTGTTCAAGTATTATCGCACCACCACCGGAAAGATATTGCTCTCGCGATGATGTGATGTTCTCTCTTGTCATTCCATCATGTGCTGCCACTATTGCATGTGGAATTTCCAGCTTCTGGTCCAGGTTCACAGCTGCAGGTCCAATGGAGGTCCAGGTTCACAGCTGCAGGCCCAATGGAATTTCCAGCTTGTGGTTCTCAGGTTCACAGCTGCAGGCCCGATGGAGGTCCAGATTCACAGCTGCAGCCCCAATTGAGGTCCAGGTTCACAGCTGCAGGTCCAATGGAGGTCCAGGTTCACAGCTGCAGGCCCAAATGGAGGGTTCAGGGTAGTTTGCCGGTGCTCGATTGATGTGGTCTTGCAGCTTGAGAACTCACTTATCTTTTTTCCTCAGATAGTCAATAGCATTTTGTCCCTCTTTTTTTCTTTCCTTTTTTTTTTTGTTTCTTTGTTGGTGACTTGTGGCCGCCGCTTCATTTGTTAATCATGCAATCAAGCACAGTTAACCTCAGATTAACAGGTGTAGCAGCTTCATATGTTGCCGCCAATGCGCAACGCTAACATAACATGTCTATATTCATAAAAGTATTTTCTGCTCAATCGACGTGGCCTTTCCAGAGCTTGAGAAGTAGAGAACGCAGTGATGTACTTCAGATTCTCAGGGGTATTTCTGTAATTCACCCATGCAAAGCATGATTGTTCCCTGAGTGGTTCCAAAGCTATCGAAAAGTCACTTTCGTTGGTGCATGTGACCACATAAGCGTCCAGATTCATTCTTGCTTGAACATGTAAAGCCCAGCCGAAATGAAAAAGTCGTTTGGTTCGAGGATACAAAAATATCGTCTGGTTGATTAACAACCGTTCAGATGTGGCAAAGTCCTGGAACTACTTCAGATTCTCAGGGGTATTTCTGTAACTTCAGATTCTCAGGGGTATTTCTGTACCTTCAGATTGTCAGGGGTATTTCTGTAACTGTAGAGTGTCAGGGGTATTTTTGTAACTGCAGAGTGTCAGGGGTATTTCTGTAACTGCAGAGTCTCAGGGGTATTGTTGTAATTCTCATGCCTGTCCACCATGCATAGGATGGTTGCTCCTCTAGTGGTGCCAATGGTATCAAATAGTCACTTTCGTTGATGCATATGACAACATAAGCGTCCAGATTCGTTCTTGCTTTAACGTGTAAAGCTGAAATCCAAGAGTCATTTGGTTGAGTATCAAAAAGTCGTTTGCTTGGTTAACAACTGTTAAGCTGCGCCAAGTCGTGAATCTACTTCAGATTCTCAGGGGTATTTCTGTAATTCTGATGCTTATCCAGAGCATGATTACTTGTGCAGTGCTTCCAAAGGTATTGAAAAGTCACTTTCAATGATGCACATGACCACATACGCGTCCAGGTTCATCTTTGCTTGAACTTGTAAATCAGAAATCCAAAAGCAAGTGTCGAACAGTCAGTTGGTTGATTAACAACTGTTAAGATGTCTGAAGTCAAAAAAAATAAATTGTGCTGAATATGCAAGGATGACACACGCATACATCATAAAGTTTTTCCAAATAATAATATTGTAATAAATGAATGGGAGAATTTTCGAAATGCCCCTGAAGTTTGCGTTTATTTGCAATTCGCCCCTCCGACGGCCGACTTACCCCGATTTGCCCCTGGGGCCTCTGAACTTCCGAAATGACCCCTGTCAGTGAGGGGCACAACTTTTCGGAATGCCCCTACCGGTAGGCCGGTCCCATTTCCCGTGGTGGCTGTCCATGTTGCCCTTCTGCATTGGATGCATCTTCCTGGGATGCCCTCCAGCGGGGAGGCCCTCAGAATTCGAATTCAAACTCCTTGATTTTCCGGGCCTCTGCGCAAAAAAACAGTGCTCCACTCCACGTTGTGTCCACTGCTTCAATTCACGCAGAGTTTATTCTTCTGGTACCGCGACTTGCCGCCGCCTTCGACGTCCTCAGAGAACGTTGCCGAAGGTGAGTGTTCCTCCCCTTCGTCCACGCCTCTTTCTCTGTCTCTGTCTCTCTCTCTCTCTCTCTCTCTCTCTCTCTCTCTTTCTCTCTCTCTCTCTCTCTCTCTCTCTCTCTCTCTCTCTCTCTCT